TTAAGCTCGTAATGGGTACCTCAAGCTATGACGGAAAATTTTCTATGCAGGTCCACATCTTCGTAGAGCCCCCATATAACGATACCTCCTAATATTCGGCATTTTGATGATTTTAGCCACATTTTTTATCTGAATTGTTGACAATTTCGTATTTGAAGTTCCTAATACGTACTACCGTCTATGACTAAAAATTGCGTATGCAGGTACTCGTCTTCGTATATCCTCCATAAAACGGTTTTCATATAAACGGTATTTTTCGACGAAAATTTCTTAACATTTTGCAAGTTCCTTCCAAATGGGAGGAGGGTATTAAAAGTTCGGCACTTCCAAACTTAGCTGCTTTTTTACTTGTTTAATTTGGTTTTAAGGTTCATTTGGTGGATAAAAAAAATCAGTTTGGCCGAACTTAATCTCGATTTTATAAAGTTACTAGCTGGCCCGGTCCGCGTTGCCGGCCCGTAGTTTTTGTCTATTATGCATATTTGTCAAAATAATTATTCACAGGTATGACTGATATAAGAGTTCACGTACTGGGCCATTTTTTAAAATACCTGTACCCACATTTAAGCCGTGGCCTTCAATTGTGTGGATGTGCTATACAAATCTATTAAAAAGTATATATCAATCTTATCCCTATGTAAGGGATCAAATTAATTTTTAGTATGGTAAAAATCGTAGCAAAACTTTCCAGTCAAAAGAGCAGTAATTTGGAATTTACTGTATTTTGTACACCTCATAATTGAGGGCTGAATGATTTAAGAATAGCCAAAGTTAATTACTTTTTTTTAAACCCATTAGCGCCTTAGATTGTGCATTAGAGTCCTCATAAGTCCTCCTAACCATCTCGGTCTGTTTGTCCGCCAAAAGGTGGACTTGAGGGGGTACTATTACATGGAAAAAAATCTAAAATTTGTAGATTTGTTGAAATTTTTGTGTAAGATTTTCACCCCCCAAATATAAATTTTTAGCCAAATCATTTGAAATATGGTAAAATCAGGAGGTATCTTTATATGGGCACTACTTCGAAACATCGACTTAAATTGAAAATTTTCTTCTACCCCTTATAATCCAAGATGACAAATAGAGGCCAAATCACAAATATAGCAGAACAACATAGTATGTCCACCATCAAATATAATTACTATTTTGCACCCATTACCGTAAGATGCGAATTAATTTTCTTTGTCATTTAAATTGTAAGTTGGAGACCCCATAAAGTCCATATTTTTCATCACAGTATAATTCAATGACGATTCAAGAAATATTCGGTCCCGTGCTACTTTCTTATATTTGTAATTTGTTCATGTTTTCACAATTTATTTCAATATGGCCCTACTCTGAAAATTTCCAATTTTATACGAAGAGGTTCTCTACCCCTTTGAAACAAAGATGCCAAATAAGGGCCAAAAAATGAAAAAAGTGGCCAAGACCCCAAATAGCTTAAATCATACGATGGTTATATAAATATGAAATTGGGTTGTACCCTTATCCGTGAGTTATGATCGATATCATGACCTGCAAAAGCAATTTAAGGTATCTTGAATGTTTGGGAAAATTTCTGGAAGGATAGAAATCCTTTTCTTACTAAAAGTCCCATTCGCTCTACTATTTTGCACCTTTTTTTACTTGGTATTTTACTGATTGTACTCCCAAAGAATTTTGCATTTTGAGCTCTCATTGGACGGATTATTGTCACATGAAAGAAGTAGGTCCACGCTTTGAAATGAGCCCCATTAGTCTTTTTCGTTCATTTTTGTTTGTTTAAATGTGTGCGCATCTTCCAGTTGAAGCACGATGTAGGCCCTGGAGTTGAAAGGTAGATGTCAGTTAACATCGTATTTCGCACTTATTTCAGTTTTTTGTTGAAAAATTGCATATAGTGAAAAATTATACTTTATTTTGTTCACAAAAAATCCCATGAATTCAATATGATAATACAAATTGAAAAAAAAAAAAAAATAACAAATTGAAAAAAACTTCAACTTGTTCGCTGATTTTTTACAGAACTGTATAAAGATCCTTACAAAGTTTGTCAATAGAATGTACTTTTGTTTTAAAATTCAATTCCATTGAAAAATATTTTCGATATTTTCCCGATTTGAGAATTTTTGCAATAAGATCTCTTTTTTCGTGATTTTTTAGCGATTTTGAAAATGTAATTATCTTTTAACTTGGGTGTGACCGCGTTAAATTTTTTCGATGTCTATATATCTATCTATTCCGTTTCGCCACCACATAATTCGGTACTACACTTCCATGTAACCCGCCATCAATTTCAGTTCTCATGAAATCATGTCAATTAAATAAATTGGTGAGTTTTGCCTTGTTAAGGCGAAGATCATATGTTTTATGATTTAAGTATTGATAGTCGAATTCAAAAATAAAAAAATATAAAAAACACTACAAATATACATTAGAAAAAAAGTAAGTCAAAATGGAAAGAAAATCATGCAAAATAAAACATTACTATTGTACATTTCAAAAGTCAAAATGAATATGTTAATATATCTCATATTTACGCGATTTTTTGGATATTATCCTTTTCGGACAGGAGACAATTCCGAATTTGCATGAATCGTTAAAATCAGTGCAGCGGTTCCTAAGTTATAAGCGTAGTAACTAACAAAACTTTCTTTTATATATATAGATGTATAGATAGATTAAAAAGTAGGCGTAGTCAGTTCCTCAGCCCCCAAACAAATACTTAGGGTTGGAGGGAAGGTCAAAACTATCTCGTGTAATAATTTTCAAACCGATATCTTCATTATCTGGCAAATATAAAGATTTTAGATAAATCAAGATAGTGGGCGTGAAAGTAGGCGTGGTCTGCGTTGCCGGGCCGTAGTTTTTGTCTATTATGAATATTTGTCAAAGCATAATAATTCACAGATATGACTGATATAAGAGTTCACATTCTGGTCGATTAAAAGTGTTTCAAAATACCTATACCCATATATAAACCGTGGGCTTCAAATGTGTGGATGTGCTATACAAATCTATTAAAAAGTATATATCAATCTTATCCCCATGTAAGATTTTCACCCCCCAAATACACATTTTTAGCCAAATCCTTTCAAATATGGTAAAATCAGGAGGTACCTTTATATGGGCACTACTCCGAAACATCGACCTACATTGAAAACTTTCTTCTACCCCTTATAATCCAATATGACAAATTATTTGCCATTTAAATTGTAAGTTGGAGACCCCATAAAGTCCATATTTTTCATCATAGTATAATTCAATGACGATTCAAGAAATATTCGGTCCCGTGCTACTTTCTCATATTTGTAATTTGTTCATGTTTTCACAATTTATTTCATATAGATGTACATCCCAAATCTACGTTCCCAACCAATATTATCTTGGGGGTTACAAATTCAATAGAATACAAAATTTTCTTTTCTGACCACACATTAGATGTGAAAGTGGACTTGGGGATACTCCTAATATGGGGACTATACTTAAATAAATTTCTATGTGGCAATTATCTGTATGATGGTTCCTTACCCCAGGGTAGCATAAATACAATTTTTTAGCCAAATCAATTGATGAATGTAGTCAAGACCAATATGGGCCCTACTCCGAAAATTTTATGCGAAGAGGTTCTCTACCCCCTTGGAAACAAAGATGCCAAATAAGGGCCAAAAATAGAAGAAAGTGGTGAAGGCCCCAAAAATAGCTTAAATCATACGATTGTTATATATGATCGATATCATGATCTGCAAAAGCGATTTAAGGTATCTTGAATGTTCGGGAAGAATTTCTGGAAAGATAGAAATCCTTTTCTTACTAAAAGCCCCATTCGCTCTACTATTTTGCACCCCCTATATATTTGGTATTTTACTGATTGTACTCCCAAAAAATTTAGCATTTTGAGCTCTCATTTGACGCATTATTGTCGCATGAAAGAAGTAGGTCCACGCTTTGAAATGAGCCCCATTAGTCTTTTTCGGTCATTTTTTTTTGCTTAAATGTATGCGCATCTTCCAGCTGAACGACGATGTAGGCCCTGGAGTTGAAAGGTAGATGTCAGTTAACATTCTATTTCGCACTTTTTTAATTTTTTTGGTCAAAAATTGTATATAGTGAAAAATTATTCTTTATTTTGTTCAGAAAAAATGCACTGAATTCAATATGACAATACAAATTGAAAAAATTGAGAAAAAAAGAATAACAAATTGAAAAATCTTCAACTTGTTCGCTGATTTTTTACAGCAACTGTTTAAAGATCCTTGCGAAGTTTGTCAATAGAATGTACTATTATATCAAAATTCGATTCCATTGAAACTTTTTTCGATATTTCCCGATTTGAGAATTTTTGCAATGAAATCTCTTTTTCGTGATTTTTTAGCGATTTTCTCCTTTTCGAATAGGAGACAATTCCGAATTTGTATGAATCATTAAAATCAGTTCAGCGGTTCTTAAGTTATAAGCGTAGTAACTAACACAACTTACTTTTATATATAGAGATTAGGCAAATTTCTGCATCCAGCAATATTTTCCTTTATAAACATTTTCATTAAAACTAAAATGTTGTGTTGTAGGGTGTAAAACAGACAGTCATGCAATGATTTATTTCTATCGTTTTGTAGATGCAATTAAGAGTTAAGTACTTATGCAGGCACTGCGGTTATGACAAAAAAGCTCAAATGTATAATACAGATATATGAACAGGGCCCGAAGTTATAAGCTATTCTGAGGAATATGACATAAGATAACGTCAAATAATATTTTTATTTATTCGACAAACTAATGAGTAGTCTATACCCTACAGCATTCAAACGGCACAGCGAATCAATTGTTTAAAAAATCTCAACTTGAACAGCTTTTTGGTGGCGTTAGTTTTGAATATTATTTTTAACAATCAGACATGTTTCAAATGTATCTTTTAGAGAGAAGCAACGTAGGTCAGCTTTGAAACGACTTTGCTTGATATGCAAATCTGTCGAGTAAAAACAAAATGACAAAAAATACAAGCTGCGGTCAAATAGAAATATGAGTCGAACAACTCAGTTACTCACTCGGCTACCTTTAGACAACACATGATTGCGATATTTAATTTTGTTTGCATTGCACGGCACTTGTGGGAGGAATCTCTTCGGAATATTGGCAAAAGATGAAGTTTTATTATCGGAAGTGAAACAAACAAAACCATAAATGGGTTTCTATAGTTTTCTTTGGAAGTGTATTGTGTTGTTGTGGTGTGCTGTTCAAAAGTTACCTCCGAAACCAGTTCAACAATTCACACCTGAAATAAAAAATTCAACTCAGTCGCTACACTTGAAGAGTGTTCATCGATATATGAATGTATCGGTTGATCCATGTGAGAATTTCTATGATTTTGCTTGTGGAAAGTGGAAAACATATTATCCAGCAAATCAAACTGTAAAACACACCACACGTCTTTTCGATGAACTTAACAAAGATTTCGATAGAAAACTTACGGAGATTCTCAAAAAGCAAGATGTGACAGACAACGACTCGGAACGCAAAGTTAAAACATTTTATTTCTCATGTTTGAATCCAGAAGGTGGAACGAAATTTTATATCAAGGAAAAATTTAAACAAATTGCAAGTGAATTTGATCTATATCCCTCGGTGCAAATTTTTCAAGGCCATAGAAGGGAGCAAGCATTTGATTGGTTGGAGACGGTTGCCCAAATTTCCCACAAATATGGCCTCAATATTATTTTTGGCTATTCTATCAAACCCGATGCCAAAGATAACACCGCACACAATTTAATTTTAGGTAGTCCACATTTCGCACCACACTATCAACGTCTGAGGCATGAATACGAAACCATTCTTGGCTATCTAAACCTTAATGCAGCGACAGCTAATGTCATTGCCTGGGAACTTGTTGATTTTGAGTCGGCGTTGCTGCAAGCCAATCGCTATGGCACCAAAAGTCCACTTAACGACTCGATCGACAGCATTCACAAGGAATATTTCCCCCACGTGGATATAAAAAAGTTCTTAAATATTTCACTTGGCTATGTGCCAGTGGGAGTTGTGTGGCTTGAGAATCCAGGATATTTGGAAAATCTTATTAAAACTTTGAAATGGACACCCAAAAAGTTGCTGATCAATTATATCGTTACAAAATTACTTCATCACTTCTGGACTGATTTGCCGCTCCAATTCTTTGAGCAAATGGATGTGTGTCTTAAGATAACTAAAGAAAAATTCCCACACATTTTAAGTCAAATGTTTTTCAAGTCCAACAAAGCCCTAAACGAAAGAATTTATGCCATTGAAACATTGTGGTCGCAGATAACATCAACTTTGCGCACGATATTTGATTCCAAAAGACCACTTTGGTTTGACAAATTCACCCGGCAAATGGCTAGAGAAAAGCTGAACTCTATGACCCTGCATGTGGCAACATATCAAGATTACGATTTTGACCAAGAATATCGTTGGTTGTGGTTTACCCCAAACGATTACATCGAGAACTTAAGAAGTCTCAGTGGTTTTGAAGCTTTCACGAGGCGTCATTCGCTATACCAAAAGCCTCAACATGAACACATTTCATTGGATCTAAAGACACCGGTTTATGTAATATCTTCCAATTCAATTGTCGTACCAGTTTCGATTCTCAATTCCAATTTCCTGTGGTCAACTTCCAATCTAAATTTAATGAACGTGGCCCATTTGGGATTTTGTTTAGCTCACGAAATAATGCATGCCTTTAGTGGTGCGGGTCGGAACTACAATCCGTTGGGTAATTTTTACAAGTACTGGAATAAACATGCTGAACATGAATACACCAAGCTAGAGGCTTGTTTTGCCGATCAGTATGGAAATCTCACAGAGAATGCAAAATATCTGCCCAAGCTACACAGACAAGTTCACAAACAGGACGAGAACATGGCAGACAATGCGGGCATTGTGCTGGCCTATGAGACTTTCAAACAATCCCACAAATATGAATTGGACACCACCTTAACTTATACTTATGATCAATTATTTTTCATCACCTATGCCCAATTGTGGTGCTCCGATACTTGGCGAAAGGAAACGATGCAAAACTTTCTGCCTATGGGGCGTCATGCTCACAATGAATTGCGTGTCTTAGTGCCGCTGAAAAATTTTGATCAATTTTCCAGCACATTTAAATGTCCCAAAGGTAGCCCTATGAACCCTAATCATAAGTGTAAGTTTTTTCATTGAGATCTCCTTTAAATAAAATAACTCGTTTTAATGTATTATATGTCAAGAGAATTTTTATTTTGGTGCTATTGAAGGACAACACGTTTCAAGAGGAGGTAATAAAATACTATTATATAATTTACAGGGTAAAACACAACGAATAATATAATTTCTCGCTCCCACGTCAAACGAACTTTGGATCCGTTTTAGTCTTAAAGTATTGCGTGGGTAGGGCAAAAATTCAAATTCAGTGGGCGCTAGGCACGAAGGAAAATATGTATATTTATGGTGTTCCTAGTAATGCTAACTTCATTTATTTTCCAAAAAAAGAAACAAGTAAAAACGCAGTTAAGTTCGGGCCGAACTTTTAATACCCTCCACCATTTGGAAAAAACTTTAAAATTTTCAAAAAAAAAAAAAAAAAAAATCTGTCGAAAAAAAAATTCGGCTTCTTTGCTACAGTTTCCTTCTATCCTTGTCCTTATTTATTTTATATTTTTTTAAGACTTCGATTGGTTTCACCACCGTCCTGCATGTGGGGATCCTGTTTTTCGGGACTTCCTTTAATGTTGCGTCAGGATACATCCTCTCGAACTTCCTAACGAATTTACGCATGACAGAATTAAAGAGGTAATCTCATTTGCCAAATGGGCAATGGCTTTTATATTGAACCTCATCTATTTTTTTTAATTATTATACCCTTTACCATACTATGGAGGGTATATTAATTTTGTCATTCCGTTTGTAACTCCTCGAAATACTCATGTCAGATCCAACAAAGTATATATATTCTTGATCAGCGTAAAATTCTAAGACGATATAGCCATGTCCGTCTGTTTGTCTGTCCGCCCGTCTGTCTGTTGAAATCACGCCATCTTTCGAACGAATTGAGATAGAAGGCTAAAATGTTGCACACATTTTTATTTTGCAGGTTAACTTCGTAAATGGGCCATGTAGGTCCACATTTTCATATAGCCCCTATATAACGGTACCTCCGGATATTCGATATTTTGATGATTTTAGCGACATTATTCATCAGATTTGTTTCAAATTTGGCATTTGAGGTTCGAAATAGATACTACAGCCTGAGAAAGAAAATGGTCTGTGCAGGCCCACGTCTTCGTATAGCCCTCATATAACGGGCTCCCCATTTTTATACCCTACACCACAAGGTGGTCAGGGTATTATGTCTTTGTGTATTTGTTTGTAACAGGCAAAAGGAAACGAGATAGACCCATTGTTCCCTTTTTTGATCTGCATAGAATCACACTCTGAGTCGATTTATGCATGTCCGTCCGTCCGTCTGTCCATGTATTTTTGTGAACAAAGTACAGTTCGCATTTATTACCCGATCCAGATGAAATTTTTCACGAATCAGTTGTGTGGCCCAAGGACAAACCCTATTGATTTTTGGAGATAATCGGTCAAAATTTAGATATAGCTCTCATATATATCTTAGTCCAATTTGCCTTTTATTGTGCACCAAACGTGTAATATCAGCCCGAATAGTATGGAATTTTGCACATACAACCAAATTAGGCCTGAAAATAATTATGCCAAATTTGATCGAAATCGGTTCAGATATGGCTATAGCTCCCATATATATTGTTCATCCGATTTGTTATTTTTGTCCTCCGCAGCCGTAATATGCACTCTGTAACAACAATATTTGGGGGAAATATATCAAATACAGCTCAGAAATACCTTTGCTAAATTTTATCGAAATCGGTTCGGATTTGGATATAGCCCAAATGGGATGAAATTTGGCACTTATGACCGAATTGAGTCTAGAAGCTAGTATGTCAAATTTGGTGAAGATCGGTTCAGATATAGCTGTAGCTCCCATATATATTGTTCATCCGATTTTTTATATTTGTTACCCACAGCCGCAATATCCACTCCGTAACAACGATATTTAGGGAAATATATGAAATCCAGCTCAGAAATATCTTTGACAAATTTTATCAAGATCGGTTCAGATTTGGATATAGCTCCCATATATATCAAATGGGCAAGTCCGAATTTAAAAGATACAAATGCCTTGGCATATTTAGTCTTTTGAACTTTAAATTATAATTATAATCATAGCGTCCTACGGACGCTATATTCGGTATTTTTAAGATGTTAACAGAATTTTTGAAAATTTCCAAATTCGTTCTAAATGGTGGAGGGTATTCTTAATAGTGGAGGGTACTGCTTTTTTACTTGTTTTTTAAATATTAACGCAAAAAGGGTAGCATAGTTTTTTTTTTCACTGGCTTAAATCATCGGTTGGCTTCTTCGGAAAAGAACAAAAGAGCGCAGGGTTAAAATTAAACCAAAATTGATCTAAGTCTGAGTTCATCTATGCGAAGAAGCCAGCTGACGACTTAAGCCAGTCAAAAAGCCTTTTATGCACTCTCACCTCAAGTCATTGTCTACCTTCTTCGTAAAAGAAGGGTGAGCAAATATAAATTATGGGCTGAAATAAGTCAACCTAAGATTCCTTTGTTCTTTTGTGAACAAGCCAGCTGATGACTCAATCCAGTCAAAAAAGCTTTTTATGTATTGCCACCTAATTATTCGCCAAGCTATTTAGTAAAAAACAAAGGAGCTTTGGGCCGACTTAAGTCACCCTAATTCCTGCATCTTTTACAAATCAGGCGGTATCTTTGCACAAAAAACAAAATTCTCACCTTTATTAGTTCTCAGCAAAATGTCAAAAAACAATCTATCCGTCTGGAAATTGTGTGAAATGTTTTAAAAAATTATATATATTTGAGATCTATCCCAAAAAGTCTCGTGCTCAATACCGAACATAATCTAAAGAGTACTTTATATTCACTTTTAAGGTGCAAGTCTGCAGAAAGCTCCTTTGTTTTTACGAAGAAGCCAGCCGAAAAAATCATGTTCTATGTGTTCTCACCTTAAGGCATCCAATGAAAATTCGAGACGTGACAAACAGAATGATAAGAACATTGTACTCTCCATCATATGGTGGAGTTTATGTCTTTTAACATGCAGTGTCGGTCCACTGGTTGGTTTTTGTGTTTGAAAACAATCATTGTTCCCTGTGGTTAAAAGAAATTCAAATTTAAATTTTGGTATGTGTGTCAAAGTGGTTGGCCTTTATCTTTTTGTGCGCTCTCCTACAAAACTCACAAAACTGAATTCAGTAAGAAGTGTAAATTAAACCTCACTTGTTGTCAGTGGAAGTTTTTGGTTGTTGGAGTAAGAGTTAACATGTTTTGCAAAATCTGGCTATATGTTACATTTGTTCTTATAATTTATTTTCGTCTGATTTGTAACTCCGAAACTACTGAAGTTCAAAAGTTAAAGACCCTTTCTAATTTTCTGAAAAACTCGTGTCAGTGTTCATCCCAGTGGCAATGTGAGTGTTGTTCCAACATCGATAAAGATCGTTTGAATTTCCATCAGAAGTGTAAGTAAATGCATCCAACAAATTCCGTTAATATTGAATAAAGAACTGTTATTTAATTGTAGTGTGTCTCGATTGGAACGTTGCTTCTCGAACCTGGATCATAAATGTGAATATTCGCCTCAACGATAGAATTTTGTATGCTAACGAGTTTCCAGCCTGGAATATACCACCATTTTGTTTTCCCATAAGTGCTCCCCTGGCCTTAAGTGGATGCCTACAAGTCCATAGTTTGGGCCATCACAATTTTAACACGTTGCACGCATGCGGTAATGTGACACTTAACGTCATAACATTTAACCTTATCAACTGGCCACTTGGCTGTGTGGATGTTGGTACTTCGGGCATACAAATGGTCGAACCAGACCATGATGTCTATAAGGCGATTGTGGAAAGCAACTCCGGGAATTAATTTTTGCATTATTCGATTTGAGTAAAAATAAGTTTCTTCACACGCACATTAATTCGTAAATTTATTTCTCTAAGATATGAACGTTCTTTCTGCAAAAGCGGTGGATTAATCGTTGTTAAGAAATAACTTTGACAGCCATTTCGGAGAGGAGATGACAAAGCTCGAAAAGTCGAATTAGATATGTAACGCATTTATAACACGATTTCTAAATCCTACTAGTTTAGACTAGTTTAATGTGAAGAAGATCTCTTACGGATACAAAAGTAATTGTTGGAAAATAAAAACTGAATTGATGGTTTAACTCACTAATGTTGCATACGGCAGGAAAGTCAACAAACGACACTGGACAATACATACACGAATCAGAAGAATACACTGATAGAAATGTTGGTTAAAAAATCAAAATATGATTACGGCGAATGTCTGACATAATTCCAAAAAATTGTAAGATCCCTTTTTCAGAATATTATGTGCATATGTGTTTGTAGTTTTGGATAGTGGCCACCCAGCTAACATTTTTTCCGAGGGCTCTGATATTCGATTGTTTTGTAAAGATTTTCTACCGTTTCTCCAAAAAAGTTTCCGAGTTATCTGCACGCATGTATATATCTATATCTATAAAAGAGGAAAATGTTTGTATGTTTGTTTGTTTGTAATTTATGGACTCGAAAACCGCTGAATAGATTTTCCTGAAAATTTCCATATATACTGCAACATCGCCTGAAAGTAACATAGGCTATATACATTTTTGAATTTTCACTTGGAACTGGAGATATAGCATCAGAATCGGAGGTACCTCCCAAAAATTTAGATTTTATATGCACATATCTATTGATTGGTTGAAGATACAGTCTCCAAATTTGGAATACGTAACGGAATTTGGAACAAAAATAAGTTTGCCAAATTATATTGTAATCGGTTCAGATTTGGATATAGCTCCCATATATATTTTCGACCGATTTCGTTCATTTGATGCCTCAAACACAATATGAATGTTCGATTCCAATGAAATTTGGAATGTGTGACGGGATTTGATCCGAAAATAAATTTGTCAAATTATATTGAAATCAGTTCAGATTTGGATATAGCTCCCATATATATTTTCGGCCGATTTCAAGCATTTGATGCAGCAAACACGCTCTGTATCCCCAATTTCAATGAAATTTGAAACGTGTGATAGATTTTATCTAAAAAATTGATTTCCCAAATTATATTGAAATCGGTTCAGATTTGGATATAGCTCCCATATACATTTTCGGCCGATTTCATGTGTTTGGTGGACCAAACACGATATGTATTTCCAATTGTAATGAAATTTAAAATAAGTAACGGAATAGGGAGCCAAAATGATTTTGTCAAATTAAACTGAAATCGGTTCAGATTTGGATATAGCTCCCATATATATTTTCGGCAAATTTCAAGCATTTGATGCAGCAAACACGCTCTGTATCCCCAATTTCAATGAAATTTGAAACGTGTGATAGATTTTATCTAAAAAATTGATTTCCCAAATTATATTGAAATCGGTTCAGATTTGGATATAGCTCCCATATATATATTCGACCGATTTCATGTATTTGATACACCAAACACGCTATGTATCTCTAATTTTAATGAAATTTTGAATGTGTAGCGGAAATTAAAACAAATATACATTTGTCAAATTATATTAAAATCGGTTCTGATTTGGATATAGCTCTCATATATATTTTCGACCGATTTCATGTATTTTATGCACCATACACGATATGTATGTTCGATTCCAAAGAAATTTGGAATATGTAACGGGATTTTGATTAGAAAATAAATTAGTCAAATTATACTAAAATCGGTTCAGATTTGGATATAGCTCCCATATATATTTTCCGCCGATTTCACATATTTGATGCACAAAACACGATACGTATTTCCGATTCCAATGAAATTCGGCATGAGTGGCTAAATTTGGTACAAAAATAAATTTGACAAATTATATTCAAATACGCTCAGATGTGATTATAGCTCCCATATATATACTCAGCCGATTTCACATATTTGATGCACCCAAAGCGAGAGAGACAAAATCTGGCACCAGAAAAAACTGCCAAATTATATTGAAATCAGTTGAGATGTGGATATAGCTAACATATATATTTCGGCCGATTTCATACATGTTATGCACCAAACATGATATATATGACCGATACCAATCAAATTCAGAATGTGTGGCGAAATTTGGTTACAATAATAAATGTGACAAATTAATTGGAAATTAGTTAAGATTTGGATATAGCTCCCATAAATATATTATCGGCCGATTTCACATATTTGACGCACCAATTTCAATTTCAAAGTAATTTTTTTAAAATTATATTTAAATCGGATCAGATTGGGATATGATTTTAATAAGAACCATTGACCCACAACGCCGTAGGCTAACACTAAAAAACAACACAACAATTAATATGAAATACGCTTATTACGGCGAAGTATGTTGCTATCTCGAATTCACTAATTGCAATAGAAATGCTACTCAACTTCAAAAAATTGCAGTTTACTGCACGCTTGGTATTTGCTATGAAATAAATAAATCCGAAGGACAAACCCTTCGCGTATGCATGTCATGTTACTGCTTTTCTAATGGTTTTGGTTATTTACGCATTAAAGTAGTGCAATAATTTTTTGTTTTTTTTTTTTAACCAACATATATTCGTAAATAAAATTTTGAATGCATATAAAATCAAAAGGGGTAGCGAAGCGCACCGGGTTCAGCTAGTATGTATATAAAATGGTCTATGTAGGTCCACGTTTTCTTATAGCCCCTATATGGCATTCGAATAAATTTCGGTAGTTACAACTCATAATGGTTTCTACCTACTATAGCAAAACATTGTTCACATAGGTTCATGTTTTCCTATAGCCCCATATAAAGATACCTCGTTATTCGGTATTTTGCGGATTTTAGCCGCTTTTCTAACGACATTACTCAAAATTCGGTATTTTGATTTCTTACAAGGTTATCTACTCTTGTTGTAGATACATTTTTAAAAAGGTCTATCTGATGAAAAAAATCATTTTCTCCTGATATTCGGTATTCTGCTGATTTTAGTCACATTTTTATAGAATTGTTTGGAATTTGGTTTATTTGTATTTACTGACAGAAGTGACGCATATCTCTCGAATACTGGAATTTCGGCATTAATAGTCTTACTTTTACATGCGTTATTTTCCAACTGTTGGATGGTATAAAAAGTTCGTCCCAGCTTACATAGCAATTTGAACTTAACTGCTTTTTTAAGTGTTCGTTGTGTAATATTACCATCTAATAATTCTGTATCTGTATTCCTTAAAATAATTGCAGACGGATAGGCTCAATCAAATTTCACAGTTTATGGCATGGTAGAAGAATATAGGTAGACGCGTCGACACAGCTGCTGGGAAAATGAACTGTCAAACCAATTTTGGAATTGAAAATGTTGAATGAAAAATTATTCAAATTTGTAAAAATTGTTGAAAAACGATGATTATAATAACCTCCAAATTACGTCGTATAAGAAAACATATAAAAATCTACTTATATTTGAAAAGACATTTAAATTTTTTGACATATCAATGCTCTCAAGCGTTGATGCATCTACCTGTATTCTTCTGCCATGGTTTAAGGTAACTCTGAAACTATGCCTTACAATAAATTTTTAAACTGTTCTCAAAAAAATTACAAAATTATCAAGTAAAGGTGTCTTTACTAATGAACAAATGCGAACATCCTAAAAGTATGCTTTAACTTTTAAATTAGCACATTCTCAGAATAAATGATTCTCTTTGCCAAATGTTGGAAATATGTAATTTTGATCGAGTACTTTATATATTTTTGAAAAATTGCTTAGTTTTGAAAGAGCGGACGCTTTTCTTTAAACTTATGAATAGTTTAAAATTATATCAATTTTTAGAGTTTTGTCTTGTTAAGGCGAAGAACATATATTTATGACTTATGTGTTTATTTCTCTTTCTTAATGATCTGAAATTTGCAGTGAAAAGGAAAGCCAGATAGACACTATCACACACTCACTATAATGCGAAATGTCTCGTCGTTAGTTAAGTCGCTCATCAGGCATATTTGGTGTGGATGACGGCTTACAAGGATCGTTTTTGGAACGAAGTATTTCGAACTTATTACGATTGAACATATGCGAATTAAACACCAGAGACCTTCTCAGTTCAACTCAAATTCTATATGTACATGCGTTCTGCTAATCTGGTTCAAGCTCAATGTTTTAAAATTCGGCTATTTTAACGGTTTGTAGCCAGGAGTGAGTTGGGTAGGTTTGGCTATGCAATTAAAGAGGTGCAGCGTATTGTGCGGGCCTGTATCACACACCGGCAGACGTCATGCACATATTCGTCAATTTGTGCCCAATACGAAGTGAGACGACTACACCATCCTGAACGTAATTACACCAAAACTGCCCTGGTTTGTATAGGCAGCTGGCGTTCATCAGCTGCAATGGATGGGGATGGACTTCGAGGACGGCATTCTTTCTGTAACTGCTAACGGCACCTGCGACTGTGTCGATATGAATGCCACTCAGACCTGCCTGATAAGCTTCTTGATCTAGAGGTTCTCTCTTATAGCGTTGGACCTCCCTCTCTAGATCGCGTATGTCCTTCCTAACACGCCTGGTTGGGGGAGTTGCATCCACCATATGATGGTTGGGATGACTCTCACGGTAACACCCAAAGAGGTACTACAAAGAAAGCATATGATTAAAGTGAGGTAAGGGAAGGACTTCCGCCTAATCATCAAGATGGTCCACTGGTGTCATGAGAAGGCACCCTGTCGCAGTTCTCAGGGCAGCATTCTGACACGTCTGGATGTGCCTCCACTGAGTAGAACTAGTATTCGCAGACCACACTGGAACCGCATAGCTGACCACAGACCGACCTATCGCGTTATAAGAAGTTAACAAGGTTTCTTTTTCCGCACCCCAAGTGCTGCCAGATAGCTGTGGCTTGCGCGGACAACTTGAACATGCTGTCGAATGTGAACCCTAGAATCATGGGGAAGTTCGTGGTCAGTATTAAATTCAACTCGACCTACACATTCAGATGTGTTCTCATCTCCGCAGATTATGTGGTAAAGGGTGTGGCCGTTGATTTCGTGGCAGATATTTTCATGTTCCTCGCGTGGAAGTATGCGGCATGTTCCGCAAGATTGGGGTTCAGCCTTTCACATATGTTTCAACCACTAAGCCCGTCGCCATGATTGTACAACAATCCGCATACGTTACGATCTCTATGCCGTCTGGAGGGCGAGGTATTCCGGAAAGGTAGAGGCTAAAATAGTTCCGGAGGTATCACCCTACTTTTGGGAACTTTCTGTTTCACTCTACGGGCTTTGGACTCCTTGGACTTGGAATTCTACGTACGACTGGCGTCCACACATATAGTTGATTATCCAACGTCTCAAATTTGGCTTGATGGTGGTTCTCTGAACGTCCTCAAACAGTATGGCATGACTGACCGTATCAAATGTCTTTCAGAGGTCAATGGCTACCAACACGGTTCTGTCACACGGCTTGTTCTGGTTCAATCCTCAACTAATTTATGTGGAAATGGCATGTAATGCTATTGTGGCGTTATGTTGTGGACGGAATCCGTGCTGATGGTTGGAAACTGGATAGCTTCCTCTAATGCTGGTGAGAGTAAAGCCTCAAGGGCCTTAGCTACTGGCGACAAAAGCGAAATCGGCCTGTACGATTCGCCTTTACTGACATCCTGATCTGATACGACGTAGTACTCTTCGCTTCGCCCTGTCGTCTCGGGGTGTCAATTAAAATACTCATTGCACCTCTTCGGAAAATGAAGGTCGGATGTTTCCCCACTTCTCGTTGTTTGCAACATAAAGTAAGTAGACAATATACATCTCCTATATCTCCTAAAATCTCCTAGAATCACTTTTAAAAACGATATATGCATTTGTAAATTATTTAAATATGTAGAGTGGTGTAGAGTATCAGAATGAATGGGCATGATATATCTTAGCAACCCATATTATCTCATTCGAATAATAGAAATACTACTACTATCTATAGCGAATAACAAACTTACAGTACATCTGTTGAAATAGCGAGGGAGAAAATGGGTCTTTCGATAGATTTTTAAAAGTTCAATACCTGCCCCGAAAATAAAAACAATACTTTTGTATTTAATATAGATTTTATTGATTGTTTATTATTTTCGCCAGAGTATAAAAGATATTCAGATGCATTTTAAGCTTTATTGGTTTGTTGTTATTATTTTTAGTATTATTATGATTAATATTATTTATTATAGGGATATATTTACAAAATATGAGAGTTCAATTTATATGCCAATCAATTAGTCGATTGAAAGCGGATTGGAAAGGATTAAATCCAAACGTCATCATCTTCAAAGCCGTCATCATCGTCATCGTTCTTAATAGTTAATTATCTTAGATCTCTGCCTGCCTCTGTTTTGTTTTCTTCGCTTATTCACTCAATGTAGAAGAAATCTTAACGAAAAAGAAATAGCAAAACGGATAATAATAAACTGAAACTGAATGAAAAAAATAAAGGAAAACAAAAACGTAACGAAATCCTTAGTTGGGTTATACAAGAAATGCATTCTAAGCATCTTGTTTCAGGATTAAATATAAAGGTTTTAGAGATTGAAATAAAAATAAACACAAAACAAAATTGAAAAATTACAATTAAATAGAGTTATATAAATAGACACCCGATGGACCTAGACCCAATAATAAAATAGAATTGAAAAAAAAAAACAATAAAAACAGATATACATGGTTGGGGAAAATCTAATACAAAAAGATATGATTATGAACAAAAAAATATATAAACTTAACAATATGTAGATAATTATAGTTATGATTTTTAATAATTAATTAACATAAGATAATAATCACACACATTCACATAGATGATCGATCTGTCAATCCAACGATCGGATGATTAATACATACACAGAAAATAAAATAGAAATCATAGAATTTACAATACGCACTCTAAACTCTAAAGCCATTCGATAATAATAACAATATGTGGTTGTTGTTTTTTGCATTCGCTGATGCTGCTCCTCTCTGTGTCTTACAACTGGTATAGTATGGACTACATGCTGTGGTTTCTTTCATAGGGACACCTTGGCCAACATCATCTGACTGTCTGCCTTCTCAATACGACTTGGGATTTCTGGTTTCTGGTCCTCATAATTATAAATGTAAAATATCGTTTGTTGTTGTTGCTGGTGTAGTAGTAGATGTCGCCTGTATTAGGGATGGTCATTGGACATGGAGGAATGCTTGAAGGCCAATTGGTGAACAACGGCCTCGTTGTTGCTAACATAGAATGCGGAATTCCTCTTGACCTCGATCTTGTTGTTGTTGTTATTGTTAGTGTTGGCCGAATCGCCCACAATCACTTTACACATGACCATCTTGACTTCGGCTAAGAAGTCAGACAGGTAACATCATGTGGGTCGTGGCGGTGCATTTTGACTTTTGCGATGCGTTGGTGGTGGTGGTGGGGCACTGCGCATCCGTGGCACCGGCTTGACATCCAACGGTTTTGGCAATGGGGGTTTCATCAGATGCGCCGATTGAAACGTTGACATATCAACACCGGCACCAATGCCACCATCGTTACCACCGATACCAGACGCTGTCGATGTCCGATTGTTGGCGAGTTTAGTTGTCGTTTCGTTTTCTGGGGCATAGGATTTAGACGTTAATTTCGGTTGGGTTGTAATAACACTGGCATTGTTATTGGCATTTTGCATATCGAGAAGCTTTTTACCCTTCAGAGCTGATATCTCATCATCGCCGTCGGATGATACGGAATCATAGGGTGAGGGTGAACGTGAATGGGTCGAGTATGTCTCATCGTCTTCTTGCTCATTCTCCTGTATCATGGTGCGAAATTCTTGTATAGAATCATTGAGAGCCCACAGTTGTGAGAGTAGGGTGAGATCCAATTGGCGAAGTCCAAACTGAAAGAAAAAAACAAAGCCGAAAAAATTAAAATAATGTACATATAAAGGTAAGTAGAAATATTGAAAGGGAACTAAATTATCAGATTCTTAAAAAATCAGTTCGGGAGTAATGATACTTTTGTGAAGAGTTAAGTATTAAGTTATTAAAAATTGCAAAGTCATGTATTCATAATTTAGATGTTGAGTTCAGAAATATTTACTGAAGTTTCCATTTTTAAACGATCCAAAAAAATCTGATAGGATTAACATGTTTTTATGATTTTGATCTATCCATCCATCTATCGATCTATTGACGAAACTATACATAAAAAATCCAAAATCGACATCAACTTCAGTCGACTTTGTTTTGTCAAAATCAAAAATCGTTTTTTGTTAATTGAAAACTGGAAAAGTTGAATTTTTTTGAGACTAAACTTCAAAAGTCGTCTTTTGTTTTTGGCTAAGTTTCTTTGATGGAATTCCCATTAAACGCTTAGTTAAGTTATTTATATAGACGATCAATTGGGGTTGGATATTTTTAGGAGAGAATCTTTGCAGAAATTATAATAGAGTCTTTCCTGAGAACGATAATGCACTCCTAATAGCCAAACAAATATTTTTTAGGAGCCAGGAGGAAATCTTATTAGACAGTCAGAAAGCACTCCGTTATGACAAACATTATAAAACTTTAATTGTTAAAAGACTAGAAGGGAGTCATTGTAGATGACTAGCAACCAGAACTCTGGAAGGAGCCAGCGAGTTTCACTCTCCGTTCGAATTCTGCGTTTAAAAAAAGGTGTCGACCATACTCTATTATTCGATACTAGTTGAATAACAGCGTGTAGGCCTTGCTCGTTTTCGAGTAAGTAAAATTCGCTCTAAATTGAGCAGATTCAACCGACCACCGAAAAACTCGATTTAATTCGGGCCAACAAGTGGGAGCATTCCTAGGAGTAAACAAGTAAGCAAAGGCTACAGTCGAGCGGGGCCGACCGTTGAATACCCTACAACACTATAATAAACGATACAGTTTATATAGGCAAGATACTCGAAAGAATTCCACAAGATATTGTGACAAATAAAAAAAAACCATCAGGTTTCGTTCTCTAATTTTCGAATAATAGCAACTTAAACTAATTTTCTTATTTCCAATTTATTGGTAGATGTTGCACGTAAATGGTCTTCCTAGATCTGGAACCAATATTTCTCAAAGACCTATATTCTCTGAGATGTGGCAAAAGATTAACATTTATTATTGGTTTTTGACTGAAACGCATCTATATAAGATACAGACATTTGACTATATTCTTCGACGAAATAAGCCTTAACGAAATAGTCAGAAGTGCGTCTTTCCTGTACTTGTGAATTCTCCAAAAAGTCACTGGAATGGACATTTTCATATTTTGTCTACAAAAGTTGGCAAATTATTCCACACAATGAATATTTTTGGATGGCCATCCAAAACTGCTTGGCTTTTGCAATGTCCGGTAACCCCCATTGAAATGTGCGTGAGGATCGGGCGATAATTACGACCTGCTGACAATTTTGCAGTTTTTTGGTCCATTTCAACCCCGATCATCTCCAAAAAGAGTAGGCTACAATTTTGACCCTCATCTTATCCCCATGCGAAATTTCGTAAGGATCGGGCCATAAATGCGATCTGTATATATCCTGAAATCCTAACTACTTAGTTTTGTTAGCTGTAGAAATATTACCAAATGTTTAATTCAAAATGAAAATATGCCAAAAATGTGACAAAATTGATTTGTTGGATCTTAACATCAATGTAAAGATCAGAAGTAACCTTGTCATTGCTTTGTGATTTCGCCGGGATTTAAAATATTCGCGGTTTAATGAAAAATTTTGAATTTTTTCAACAAAAAAGATATGGTCTATTTTACCCGCTAAATATTATCCGATGACCACCCAAATTGGTAGGCTTCTTCCCCGCCCAAAACTCTAGCTACATGCGAAATTCCGCGTCGATTGGTCTATAATTGCGACCTGTATAGCTACTGCAAAATTCGACATTTTTTCAGTATTTGGTCCATTTTAACCCCTAAACATTTGGCGATCAGCTCCAAAAGAAATAGGGTTCTATTCTGACCCTAGCCCCACCTCCATTCTAAATTTCGTGAAGATCGGGCCATAATTGCGACCTGTAGAGTGATTACAAATTAACATGGACAGACGGACAGACGGACAGACGGACGGACGGACATACATAGCTAGATCGACTCAGCTCGGCGAGATAGGAAGATTCATATATACTTTCCTATGTGGGAAATCAATATTTCGTGGTGTTACATAATTTTTGGCCCAATCAAACTTATAATACCCCCAACACATAGTGTTGTAGGGTATAAAAACAAAATGAGCAAAACTCTATTTTTCGCTTTTGCTAATTTTAGAGTCGAAACAAACGTTCAAATACGATCTGATTCAACTCTTGCCGAGTACTCTTTTAGTTCTTTTCATGCTTGTTTTACACGTACACGTTCATAACCCTCTCTTCACAGCCCCACTTGAGATTTTCTCTCCTGGGGTATGTCCAACACCGGCTACGCGATCCATAGTTTTTCTATACATTGTAATTTTGGTAGGTAGGCGGCCTTCGGCCGGGGCTTGATATTTTCTCCTCTAGGGTATGTCCAACACCGGCTACGTGATCCATAGTTTTTTTAAACATTATAATTTTGGTAGGTAGCCGGAATTCGACTTTAAAGTCAATATCTTCGGAACTACAAAGCTAAGATACATATTAGTCGAGGAAATCTCAATTTCATGATTTGCAACACTAATATCTTCGGAACTACAAGAGATATCAATACCTATCATTTTCCACTTTTTATGAGTTTTTCAAAAAGTTTCGGTACAAAAATACCAATTTGTTGTATTACTCCGGAACCGATTGAAACCAACCCATCACATACCACGTTTTAGAAAGGTATTTCCATAAGCTTTCAAATGATGATACATTTGGTACATTTCAGATGTGTACAACCGGATAAAACCCGGATTTAGTATCCGAACTCCGGTCGAATAACCGGGTAACCGGATATTTCCTCCACTAAAAAAATACCTTGCCGTAATCAGGTTAAAAATATCTACACGTGGTAAAAATTTCAGGTCAATCCGAGCATAGCCCCTAAACTCAACTTAAGCCTTCAATCGATAGACATGGTACATTTTGAAGAGGTTGCAAGTACCAATTAGTATCAGTAAAATATATAAATAATGGGTATGTCTGTAAGTTTTTACTGGAGCTCAGTCTTAAAACAAATGAGAGAGATTCGAGTGAGAGCGATTCTGTCATGTCCCATCTTATACTTCCATGAGATGACACGTCAAATCGCATGAGGAATCTTTGTGCGTTTAGTCCTTACAATTTAATTATTTAAAGTTCATGTTCGCCGTAATAAAAGTTCTATGAGACAAGAATTTCCGATATGCAAATAGTCCGAAAAAATACAGTTCAGAGAAATTTTGATAGGATCTTCAAATACAAGAAATCGATATTGTTAGGTTTTCATTGCCATATTCATTCAGGAGACTGAAGTCCCATAGAAGTATTCACTTTTAACTCCAGCCCTAACATTAAATTAATTGAAAATAATCTATAATTACAATTTTATTTTTCCTTAGGTAAAATTAACAATTCGTAGAACACATTTTTACTCATGGAATTTAACTCAAGCACAGTTAAATTCCCCAGCATCATGAATACATGTGACCCAGTCGTAGATTTATTGTGCGTCAATCAGTTGCTGGGTACCATTGTCATTTGCAGTTACAACGTTGCGCATGTAAAACAGCAGCGGTATTCTGGGCGTTTATTGTCAATCATTTGGCTTTTCGCATCTTTCCTAGGTTTATCTTGAGAATCGATGATTTGCAGCCCCTTTGCGGCATATTGAAAGAATGATTCGTTCGTTTAATTAAATTACAATGACTACGACATTGTAGCTGGAAAAACTGGTGATTGTGAAAACTGGTGATTGTGGTGATAAAATTAAACATTACAATATTTCTTCCGCATTTGTTGCTGTGCTGCAACAATGGAAACGAATTGAGATTTCTTTTTCTCTCTCCTTTGTCTTTGGTTTGTTTTACATGATTTCAGAATTCTTCTATGAGCCATAAGTTCAATCTTAAACGCACCGCAACATTTGCGGTGTAGATATCTAAAGAAAACTTGCATTTGCGGTTAAAATGTATTAGAGAAAAAATAAAAAACCCGCAATCCTATCATAACGTTAAGTAGAAAGGAAGTACACTCAATTCCAATAAAAATACAACCAATATACAGGGTGAGATAAAAAACTGCAACAAAGTCAAACGCCATACTCTTTTACATTTTTTTAAAATTTTATTGAATGAAAGCAAAAAATGTCGGAAATAGCATCTAATTTTAGAAAAAGTTTAGATTTGTTCGAATTGGTCACCTTTGGCGCGAATTATGGCCTTCACGACCAATGAAACCCTCACACGTTGCCCGAATGTTGCTCTGCGGTATTTTGACCCATTCCCGGCGAAGCGCTTGCTTGAGGTGATCGACACTTTGGTATTTTTTAGTGCCAACCTCCAGACACAATAGTCCAACGGTTTGGTATCCGGAGATTTTGGTGGCCATTCTGCGCTGGAAATGAAGCAAGGAACTTCATTTTGTAACCATTCTTGGGTGGCGCGTGCTGAGTGCGATGGTGCTGAGTCCTGTTGGAATGTCCAAGGTCTGCGGCCAAAATGTTTGCATGGCCAAGACTTTAATACACCCACCAAAATATTTTCGCGATAATACTCGGCATTTATTCTGATTTTATTAATACGAGCGGAGAACGACCATCGGCTGCTATGGCGGCCCACACCATCACCATGGCTGCCGCTTGAGTTCTGGTGGCCAACCGAAGGTGCAAACCAAATTCGGCAGTTCACCACTTTCGGCCAAGCGAAGCAACTCTTTAGCTCTTTTGAGTCTATTTTCTTTCTGTTGCGCTGTAAGTTCTTGCACTTTTTGGAAT